GAAGAAGCAGCAGCTGCAAAAAAATTGCTGCCACTTATCAAACAGACGCCATACACAGACACGCCCACTTCCTATTCCTGTCTGTCCGTTTGTATGTGTATGTGTCTGTGTGTGTGTGTGTGTGTGTCAAAACTAACGAACCGCGTCGACAAACCCAGCGTCACGCCCCCGAATGTGCCGCCCACTGCAGTCATTTTTACAATACATCTAAAAAGGCGCTGCGTGCTGTACGTGCATCAAGTGTGCTTCAAATGCACTTCATTGCCTCACGAGACACACACACACACACATGCACCTATGATATGGTTGTATGTGTGTGTATTACACAAAGTAAATGAAATCGCACAAGAGCTGCAAAAAAATAGGCGAAAAAAATGGCTTGAAAAAAGCTGAAGACAGACATCAAAAAGCGACAGCTCAGTCGCCGCCAGCAAAGGGAGCGAGAGGGGGAGCGCACTACGAAAAAAAACCCATAGAGAGAAAGAGAGCGGGAGACACTAGACATTCTGCAATGGCCCACACACTCACACACACATTTGACAATCAATTGCCTAAAGTAGTTTAGCTTAAATCGGATAAAGGCTAAAAGAAAAACTTTGACTCGAGATTTGAGTTTAGCTGCCGCCGTTTGGGTCCACCCTAATGAGCCCAACATATTGTATTTGATTTGAATTATGAATGAGCGCGTGTCTATGTAAATATACATATACATTTATGGTATAATATAAAAGAATACTATTAAAATTATCCTCATCCATTTTAATCGACTTTTAATTAAGATGTTAGCCTAAATATTTGATTAGCAAAGTGTCATCAATTCAATCAATCAATTGAGCAACAATGCACAGTCTAAGACTTTTGTTAATATGTATTATTTAATTAATGAATTTATCCAACATATGTATATCGATAAATTATCGATTTGCTAAGCACTTATATCAAAGTACCTCACATATGCTAAAAACTAAATAAATTATGGGCTACATATCGATTTTTGATAATCGAATATCGAATATCGATAAGATACTAGTTACATATATCCCTTTATGCCTTAAGATATTTGCAAGATTGCTTTTCAATCCATTGACTTCTGCGACACGCTTCCATTCGTGTCACGTCACGTCACGACACGCAAGCAGCTCTCTTAAGGTCTCACTGCTCAGCTCCCACTTGGCCGCCGCACTCGAAATATTTCGATTTATTTGAGTAGCGTGGGGAGGGCGGCCGAGGGAAGCGAATGCCTCAATGCTTAGGCAGGCAGAGCTTATAACGTGTCCCAAAAGGACGCAATGCAGTCATTTTTCGCCCTGCCATGCCCTCTGCAGTCCCTGCCTTGGGCAATTTTAAAGTCTCTGTTGTCTGAGCATTCAGCTAAATCTGTCAAACAGCAAATACAAACACACAAAATACAAATACAAATACAAATACGAAAGTACGGAGTACAAATCCCAAGCACAAGTAAATAATAAAATCAACTTGAAATTCCGTTCGGGTTGTGTTCTCGTAATGTGCCTGAAATTGATTTTCTCCTTGCCAGACAACCAGGCAACAGAGCCTCACAACAGGGGCAAATGGGGCAGCTCTTAGAGGGGGCAGACGGGGGAGGCACACGTCGCTGGAGTGCATATCCTGCGGGTAAATATTTGGTCAAAATTCGTGAAGGTGTCGAAATGCTGTTTGAACTTTTTCTACACATTTCCTTTCTTTCCTTATTTTTCTTTTTTGAGCTCCAGACGCAGCTGGAAATTCGCTGTGAGATTGAGACTCCAAGAACTTCAAAGTTGCATGTTTGAATATTTGTTTCTTAAACTCTTTTATTTTTTTATTCTTATTATTAATGATAAGCATATGTGTCGAATGTGACAGGTCTAATCTCATTTTTTATTAGATATTAAAAAAACTAACCTAAGTAAACTCTAGTATTTGTGCTCTGATTTACATTTAGTTGCGAACTAATTGTTAATTTTTAACTATTTATTAACTATTACACTTTTTTTTCTTTCATTCCAGATTTTGACAAACTGTGTCTGTCAAGCAATTGAACCGTTAGTTGGATATATAAATTCACGCTGTTGTTACTTGAATTTATTGTACGAGTAATATATATGCTCATCAGATCTTCAAATAGAGGGAAAGAAGGAAATTGAAGCCGAAGTATCACAAGCCTTTGGCATAGTCATCTTCTTTATCAAGCCTTTATCAATTCAATTTTATAGTATTCAATTGATATCTATTCGCAGAGAGTGGAAAGTACTAATCTGAGCTAAAAGATGGATCCAGCAAAGTCACCGTAAAATTTATAGAGGAGAACCACTTGTTTCTTCCCAAACTGCATTGAAATCTTCTTTTATTTTGGAGAATATTTACTCATCACAATTTTTCCATAAATCGTGATTGAAGTTCCATGCCTACTATGGCTACTAGTCTAAATTGACGCCTCTTTCTCATTCAAGATATAGACTTGTCCTGTTATCTGAATTTCCGAATGGAGCTAATCCCATGATTCATGGTATTCAATGCTATTCATTTATGCCCTGACTGAATATTATTGCAGTCCAACAACAAAGCAAAGAAAAAAGATAGAAAAAAGTAAAGCCGCTAAATCAATAAAAGTTTCGATGGCTTAATACGAACCGGAAAGTGCCCTTGCGCGGCTCTCAATGCCAGTTGGCGACAGTCGCTAAGTCGCTAAGCTCTACAAAATATGCCGACATTCTTTTTTCTTCTTCTTCTTACCCTTTTTTGGTATTTTTTGGGAACTATTTTGTTTGTTCTGTGTTGCATTGGCTGGTTGAAGGCATTTTTATTGACTTACTTTCGAGTGGCAAACGCAAAACTTTTGCGCCCAACTATTCGCAACTTTTTTTCGCACTGCTTAAAGTGCTTATAGAATATATACATGTATATACATACATATATCTGAAAATGTGTATATGTGTTCATACATATATTTGGCGATTACAAATGAGATTTATTCGCCATTTCCGGCTGCATTAGAGGAAGTGCATTGCCAACTCGAGTGTGCGGCCATAAAAATGCCAAACGGCGCGTGGTTCGAATCGCGCACCACAAACCTTTTGCCCACTAGCTGTGACACACACACACACATATTCTCATACATATATTGCCTGCATTTTTGTCGCATTAACCAACTATTTTCTTTGCTCTTTTCGTTTGGCCTGGACGAAGTTGTCAACGCAAATGGCGCGCCGCAGGACCACGCCTAATGCACTTTTGATAGGCGCCCCGGAGACCGCTAAGGAGTGGGCCAAAGAGAGGAGTGAGAGAGATGAAACATCAGCAGTTAGCTGAATGTCCAAAACAGCAGCCATTGATAAATTATCATGTGGACATCAGCAGAGAAGCTTTTCCAGCCGTCATCAGGTGCAGCTGCTTGATATAAAAAAAAAAGCAAATTTAATCTATTTTAAATGTGGTTTATGGTACGGTGCGACCGGATGATGGTTCACAACGACCGTACAGTTTTTTCAACGGGTCGGTGGGACTTTCGTCCGTTTGTAACGCCATTTGTCAACGATTTATCAGCAAATCAGATATCAGCAATCAAAGGTGTTTATTTATGACTTCAACTGTTGTTCATAATTAATAAGTAATTAATATGTGCTCGTTTGTGTGCTGTTTAATTCAATAAAGCTATCTAATTTACTTGTATATTTAATGTGTTTCATTACTCGTTGGGCTGGAAATGGGTTAAAAGCCTCTTTGAACAGAAAAAAAAAACTAAATGAAATTTTAACTTGATTTGATTGACTAAAGCTGTGCTTGTGGCTTTACTATTTTGCTGCCCGAGATGAGCTGAGGTCAGCAATGAACGCAGGTAGCCTAATAACTCAGCAATCTCCCAATATATGCGGCATTGAGTGATACGGTGAGAAAAAGGAAAGAAAGAGAAAGCACCGAACACTACTGAGCGCTTAGGTGAAGTTGCTGACAGAGCTGAGCCGAAAGAAACTCTTGCTCTCGAGTTGAGCCCAAAAGTTCTACTGTCAATTGCTCTCACTCTCTTTCGCTCTCTTTCATACGCAGTCTGTAGACGCCTGCGCCCTTGCAGTAAACAAGATCTGAGCAAGACGAGAAATTGCTGCTCATGAGCGATTTTTTTGTTGTGTTTTTTTTTGGTTTGCCAACTCAAGTAACCGTAATTAAAGCACAGGCAACGCGCTCCTCCAGTGCCTAAAAGCCATAGCCAGAAGCTGCATTATCAATGCTGCTCGCCTGGTCGAAAACCAAGCAAATCAACATAAAATTTGACATTCAACTGGAAATAAAATATCCGCAGGGCAAGCGCAGTAAAAACACAAATTTAAATTAGCCAAAGTTGTTTTGCTGCAGCATTTATTGAAGTGAAACACCAGGCAAACAGAGGCGACAGCAAAGAGCTTTTTCTTTGGTTTAGGATGACAGCTGAGTGAAAGCTGAGTTTGAAAGCACCGCGCGCAGTTAATTTTATTTTGAGTCATCTGGACTGAGCTTTACTCTGACAGCTTTGCGCAGCCGTCTGCTAATTAGGCGGCATCTGCAGTGTCAACAGAAGGAGCAACGCGATCGCAGGTAGCAGCAGCTCTTGCTGTTCGCCTGGCGCTTAGTTAGGAAATGCCACATGCAACTGAGCTGAATCCAATTAGATAGAAGAACTCCAGTAGAGGTTTTTTACAGGCAAGGCAACTTAAGAGTGAGTATACAACACACAAAAATGATGTTTTAAATTTTGTATTCATTTATTGATTTATGGGATAGTAATTGCAGATTTGAAAACAATTAATAATATCGTGTTGATGTTTCTCGATCTGAAACTTAACAAATTAAAAAAATAGACATCTTGGTTTCACAAGTAACAAAAATTTGATGGCTTAGCCTAAACAAAACATGATTATTATGAATCAACGCATATTCTATTATTTTAGTTTTATTATTATAATTGTTTGACTGACAATTGCACAATATTTTCGTTATTTCTCCATGTCTTTTTTGTTTTCATATCTTTTTTTTTTGACATAACACGCAATTAAAATTAGATAATTGCAAAAAATATATATTTATATAAATAATTTGACTATTGACTAGGGATAAATTTGTAGTATTTGTTTTGTTTTTGCTTTCTTTTTCTAATTCGCTAATATGTATATTTGGAATATATATCTGTGTGTATTAAATATATTTAATGCAGCATTTCAATAATAAATAAATTTTTCAATTTGCACTGGGCGTCTACTTAAAGCATTAATTAAAACCAATTCTATTTTAAAAATTCATGAATTTCTCTCCTCAATTTCATTTTTTATTTTTCTTTTCCTATTGATTTGTGGTTTTTGAATAGGGCGAGATTCCTTTCGTTAAGTGCTGGTGCCGCAATTCGCTAGTGGTTCGCGACTTATCTACAGCAGGTTTTAAACTAGACTACAAACAAGTTTCTTCGATTGGCAAGACAAATTCTCATTCTCGATAGCGACTGAGAATGAGAGTGAGAGTGAGAGTGAGAGCGAGAGAGTGTAAGAAATAAAGAGAGAGCGTGTTTAGGGCAGCAAGAGTATCTACGTTATATAGAGCTCCACGCAGGAGTTGCTCACAATGGGAGAGGCGTTCACTGTAGCATTTGGGCTGCCGGCTTTCAATGCGGGCGTTGGCACACTCGCCGTGTGGTTCGTGTCCGGGCTAAGCAACGGCGGCGGTGTTGAATTCGCTCTCATAGACTGAGCCGGCGCGACAGCGGCAACTACTTCGCCTCCATTCACAATTGGCGCTGGTGTCGATTGATGCGATACACTGGCGGTATGAACAGTTGGCGCGGCTGTTAATTTGTTGTTATTGTTGCTGCTATTGTTGTTGTTATTGTTGTTGTTGTTGGATGGTTGCTTTAGTGGCACAAATGGCACGGCATTCTTGTTGGGCGTGAGTATGATGCCGGCATTGGGCGGTGAGAGCGGCGAGGGTGGGAAAAAATCCATTGGATACTGTGAGACAAATTCAACAAATAAATTAGCAACAGCGAATGTAATTTCAAAAACATATCCAATTAAAACTTTAAGATTGTATGTAGCATTTCGTTTGTACATTAACGGTCAATCAATCAGTCAGTCAATCATTTGTATATATTAGCAACTTACCATAGCCTGATGCTGTGAGGGAGAATGCGCCCCTGGCTGGCTGTAGTAAGTGGTGGGCGATACGGGTGGACTGGGATACGGCCAGTAGACGAGGGGAGGCGGATAGAATGCGGAGGCATGATGATGGTGATGGTGGTGATGGGCATGCGCATGGGCGTGGGCATGGGCATGGGCGTGGTGCGCGCGGGGCGTGGCCAGCAGCGGAGAGTGATGCGGCGGTTGGGGTGCACCATAAGCCGGAAAGTGAGCACCGAAATGCGCGCCCAGCACAGTGGTACCTGTCGAAGGAATATGGAATAGATTAAAATCCGAAAGCGTAATTCCGAAATAAAACTTAAAGATCAAGAATAAAATAATTGAAAGTCAGTGTTGTGAGTATGGCTGGGTATACTATAACATTTTTCTTTTCAATTATAAGCGGAGCGGTATAGCGTGTTAGTCTCGAAGAAGAGGAAGAACCGAACGGTAAGGATAAGATAAAGCAAACACACAAGATGTAGAAGAGAAATAAAAAGTTCAGACTTGAGTTGAGAGTTGAGTTTTAGTAGACATTGTTTTACTTGTTAGTGTTAGTTCAGATACGCTGTTAGTGCTCTTATCTGTTAAGTCATTTATCGTTTCATCACAGTTATTCAAGTTAAATATAATCGTATTCAAAAACACTCACCGTTTAGACATTTGCAAAATATGGTAGAGTAGACATGTAGTATAGAGTAATTGTAATTTGATTTTGAGGATATGCATGTAAAATTTAAGCATCAATATATATATGAATACACACATATATATTTCCACTTAGATTTACACATATATATTTACCAGTTTACCCAGAGACCATGATACATTTTGCGCACATAGTAAACTTAAAAACATGTTTTTATCCCGTTCAGTTTTTGCATTTTTGATTTTTTGTTTAATCCAAGCACCAACCAGCCTTCAAATATGTAATAAAAAAATTAAATAGAAACCAGGTACACACACACAGAGAAAGAGAGAGCAAGAGAGCTGGGCCATGGACAACAACGACGGCGTATGTGTAGAGAGTCGAGTTATCGTTATCGTTATCGTTATTTCACGGTACAAACAAGTATATATTCAATTACAGTTAGGTCTACGAGAGCACAACCAGCTCCTCAACGAGTTACACAAAAGCAGCAGAAGACCAGCTTGAATTGTTATCGGCAATATATCGAAGACTATATAAACACTTGTCGCTAATTAATCGATTGGCTATCAATCAGATATTTCCAATTATTTTTCTTACGAGTTATCTACCGACAAAGTCAATCGATATCCTATTGTTATTTTGTAAATGATTTGATTATCGATTACTTCTCGATTGATTGCGTATTCACCTATATATTATCGATTATGAAGTTAGTTAGCTGATCGATTACTTATTGACTGTTTATCAGATTTTATTTGATTGCTTGTCGATAGCTTTCCAATTTACCGTTTCATTGTTACATACAAAATGGGTGTGTCTATAGAATAAAGCTAGCTGGTATTACAGATTACGTTTTACATTTTACGGCTTATGACTTATTAGATGTTTCCCATCAGACGTTACGCAGTTGCATTCACATACAAGAGAAACAAGAACGTATATAGACCATAGAATTTTCAAATCCAACAGTAGTCATCTATCAATTTCAACATTTTAGCAACTCGTAACGCCATCAAAAATTTTATAAAGCACCCGCTGCGGCCACAGGGACAAGAGCCCAGAGAGGATGCGCCTGTAAATGTTTGTAAAGCTAGACCCAAGTCCAGACCCGAGAGTTACAAATACGTACAAATATCTCAAAAGAGAGAGAGAGAGAGAGAAATGAGTGAGAGAGAGAGAGTGATGAGTGATAAATGAGCGTGATTGTAGAGGGCTAGAGAAGGAAATCGATTAAACAATTTCGACTGCCGATAATAAATTGATCAGGAAATATAGTGAAAATATCAAACAGATAAGAAAGATTTTAAGTTGACTTTAAGTGACATGAGAATTGCAAAGAGAGGGATAGATAGGAAGAGATATAAGATTGGCGAGTGTTCATAGATATGCAGGTAGCGAAATGTATATTTATTGAAGTATAAAAATTTGTAATAAAAGTTCGATTGTCTCTAGGCTAAATTTCAAAATATTTGTTTTAGGTACTAAAGCTATTTAAGTTATTCCAAATGTATTTGATTATCATTAATGTTATTAATCAAATTGTTGTATATTTTTTTAAGTGGCTGCTTATGAGTTTTTTTCTTTTATATGGAAGCCATAGATCGTAAATGTATGTATATTGCAGAAAAAACCCATGGGGAACCACTCGATTGTCGTATGAACTAGGAGTTAACTAACAATTAAAATATTTTAGATGCTAAGCTATAAAAATCTTTCCCATGCTTTTTTATTTTATTTTTTATGTTTTATCGGTTTGTTTATATTGGAATGCAAGAAGCAGCGCAAAACTGTTTGTTAGACGCAGAAGAGGAGTTAGGATCGGTAAATATTTGTTTGATGTATAGAAATATATGTAAATATCTAAATTTAATATTTGGTTCTCTGCTCGACACAATTCTGGTTTATAAAGTGCGATCTATAGCGCCCAGTAAGAACATATACAATTACCTTTTAAAGACAATGACAGACATACTATATATAATCGTATTTTGTAGATATATACTTAGAGCATAAACCCAAAAAATATCCATAACCATATATATATATATATATATTTTAAAAGATGTATGCCAGTTAATTATATATCAAACACTAAAGCGCTAAGAACGTACAAATGATATAAAAGCAACTTGGGATTAGCTCGAATACTATATATGTATATACTATACGAGCATCTGATTGGTAAAAAGTCAGAGTGGCAGATATATAGAGAGATAGAACGAGAGAGAGAGAGAGAGAGAGAGAGAGAGAGAGAGAGAGAGAGTAATAAAAAGGGATTTTGACTATAAACTAAAATTAGTGATGACAGAGAACACACAGAGTTGATATATATGTATATCGATAGAATTTCCAATATGCGACTAACACCAGTTACGCACACTTATCGGCTAATGGTATACATATAACGATTTACGGTATACGATATACTCGCTATGTCTATGCGTTGATCATTTAATTTAAAATACGTCCAAAATCAAGTTTCAAATTCCATTTAAAATGAGTTCTGAGTGTTAGAGACCGTCCACAGCTGAGCACTGCGATCTGCGCGAACCCATAATGAGCATATGTGGGATGTAGTATAAAGTATATCGGGTTTACATTTACGATATTGATGTGTGAGCCTTTTTTATTGCCCAGATCGCAATGCAGTGGCTGTGGCTACAGCTACAGGTGGACACAGGAAAGTTTTCTAGTGCTTAGTTCCACTTTAATTTTGTTGTTTTTAAATATTAATCAAAAATGTTTTGTGTAACCAACCAATTTTACAAGTTGTACGACTTAAAACTAAGGTATTCCATTATTATTATTATTATTTTATATGGTATATATATGTGGTATATACGTAACACGCTAGTCTTTAAGCTAAAAGATTTTTTTCATATTTTTGTTTTGTTTTTTTCACATTTTGTTTTAGGTTCGATTTTTACGCATGAGCCAACACCTGATGCTCTTCAGGCAGTGAGCGCTTGCGGGTGTGTGTGTGTGTGCCTTTGCTTAAATAATAATTTTTGAATTGCACTTAATGGGCGTGGCACCCACACACACACGTTCACTTGCCGGCAGATTGACGGAAGCACGCAACCAACGCTCGCTACCTGAAGGACATTAGCCTCTGTTGTTGAAGTAGCGCTTCGCACACGCACACACACACACACACACACACACACACACGAACACCCGCAGACACACACATACATACACACAAGCACATACACATTACACTTAGTAGTTAAATATTATATAGCTCACGAATCAGCTTCATTACTTTTTAGTTTACAAACAATTTGGAAGAAAATCGAGAAACAGACGAAAACAATTTTGCTTTGCACATTTGTTAGCTTGCCCGGGATGTGTTTGTGTGTGTCTGTGTCTGTGTCTGTGTGTGTGTATGTTTATGTTTATGTTTGTGTGTGGGGAGGGTGTATGCCGTATGTGTGCGTGTTCGTGTGCGGTGTATAGATTTAGATATACAGATATATGTAAGTAATGCTTAGACCTTAAACAAATTCCTTACTTTTCGTTTGACTTACGACTACGAAATTTCACTATAAAAATTTACAATAAGAAATGTCTGGTATAAGTGTGTGAGTGTATATATGTGTGAGTGGGTTGATGTATGAGTTGCCAAGATGAGCAATGAAATACACATGTACATAGGGTAGACATACCCCATATACCCATATTGCCACTCAAAATGCATTGCAAGAGCCGAAGATGAAAGCCAATCAATCTTGATTGATGGCAAACTATGACCCTCTAAGTGTATGAAATGTATTTGAGTATAAAACCGTGGAATGTATGTGAAGAGTCGGAGTTCCATTGAAAGTGTAATGATGTATCAATCACTACATAATAAGAAGGAATGGAATGATTGACAGAAAAGAGTTAACAATCAATCCAATTTGATTGACCAAGTGAATTAAAAACTAATAGAAAATAACTTCTACGAGCAAGTAAATCAATCGTGATTGATTTTAGATAGTGATCAATTCAAAATCATTCAATTTTGATGGAAGGACAATAAAAAATAATCGAAGCAGAATAAAAATTGATTGAGTACATCCAGTAATCAATAACAAAGATTTCTGTATCAATCATCAATCATGATGGAGAGCTACTAAATGCCTGGATTATAGTAGGAGTAAACGCTACTGGGCGGTCGAGTTAGGGCGCGCTTGGCAGCACTCGCTGCAGCCGCCGCCCCAGCCGGATCCTGCTGAAAGGCATTCTCATAGGAGCGCTTCATGGAGTGCGGTTGCAGCGCGAGGGCCGCATTGCCCGCTGCTGCGGCAGCGCCCGGCGCAGCGGCGCCCGCTGGCACCCCAGCAGCCGCGGCGGCTGTGGAGGCGCCTGGGAACGGATAGCCCGCGGTGGACATGTAGCCCATGGGAAAGGGCTGCATATAGGGGCGCTGCATGAACACAAACTGCGGCTGGCCGCCCATGGCAGCGGCGGCGGCAGCGGCAGCGGCGCCCGGATGCTGCATGTACAGCTGATGCGTCTGCAGCATGGCGGCGTTGGCATACAGCTGCTGCTGCTGCTGCTCGGCGGCTACGGCGGCTGCTTGCTGGCGGGCCAGCAGATTGTGCTGCGCTATGAACTGCGCCTGCTGCTGGGCGAGCAGCGCGGGATTGGAGGCGGCAGCAGCCGCAGCGGCAGCGGCGCCGGCAGAGGACGGCAGCGGCAGATTGAAAGGATAGCCGGCATGCGAAGCGGCGGTGAGGCCGCCCTGGGCCAGGCCACTGCTCGACAGCGAGGAGTGGCTGGACAGGGTGGCCGGGGGCGTGGCGCTCATAAAGCCGGCCAAGCCGCTGGCGGTGCCCGCCGTGAGCGGGGCGTGGGAGGTGGCGCCCATGAGGCTGGCGGCAGCAGCGGCCGCGGCAGCCGGCGACGTTTGCAATGCATGATGAGCGGCAGCAGCAGCCGCCGCAGCAGCTGCTGCAGCGTGTGGGTGTGCGTGCGCATGCGCGTGTGTGTGCGAGTGTGGGTGTGTGTGCGAGTGTGAGCCGATGCCCTGAGCGCCGGTGGGTGGCGGCGGCGGTTGAGCTAACATACCCGGAGAGAGCAGCGAAGGTTGTTTGCCTGCAGCGGCGGCGGCGGCGGCGGCAGCAGCAGCAGCAGCGGCCAATTGGGCGTGGCTGGGATGAGGTGGCGGCGCCACTGGCGAGGCCAAGCCGCCATTCAGCACATGGTTCATATCATCGCCGGAGCACTGGAACACCTCGATATACCGGAACTTCTTGCCAAAGACCATGAACTGATTGTGCTTCCGCTGAGCGCAGAGACGCGCCGAGTCCTCCGAGTCCATTTGGATGAAGGCCTCGCCACTGGGCTGGCCCTGAAAGAGATCACGATATATATGAACGACAATAATATGAAATTATTTGATAGCTTCTTCACATTCGGATCAATCCAGAGATGGATCGAGATGATCCCGTTCGCTCACCTGCGCATTGATGACCATGTGCACGCCCTGGTAGATGATGTGCTTGGCAAAGTCGTCCAGAAAGTGCAGAATGTGCTCCACCATCGCCTCGTAGGGCAGGCCGCGCAGTCGAATGCAGTTCTTGGTGGTGCCCGAGGTGATGAGATGCTGTGGGGCATGGGTAAGTGGGGGGCACAGGTTAGCGTGGCTAGCGTTAGCTGTCAGCGGGTTGAGGGCGTGGCCAGCAGCGGCACCCACCTGCGGCAGCAACGGCAACTGCATGGTGGGCAACTGTGCTATCAACGGCGGCTGGCCGTGGTTGTTCGACTCGTAGGTCTTCGGGTCCATCGATCGATTCAGCACCTGCTGCACCTCCGCCGTCGTCGAGCGGAATAGCTCGATGTACCGCTGCCCGATTGACTCGCGATGGCGTCCCAGCGCCTTCGGCGAATCGCTTTCGTTGGCAAACAGCACAAAGGCATCGCCCGTGGCCCGTCCGTCGGGCTTCTTCACAAAGAGCACGCCCTCGTTGCCGTCCAGCACGTGACAGGGCGACTCGCCGGTGGTGAAGAACTCCAGCTGCAATAGGAGAGAGAGAACGTGAGCACATTCGGAACGAAGGAGGCTAGTCGAGAGTCATCTCGTCTCAGCCACACACTTACCACTTGCTTTGGCGTACAGTCGTAGGGCAGTCCGCGCATGCGTATTATCACCTGTGCGCCCTTGGAGAGGAACGCCTGCGCCTCGTTCGAGGCGCCGCCGGCTATGGCCAGAAAGTCCTCGCCCGATGCGCGGTACACCTCAATGTAGCGCGAGCCGATGTGATGCTTATGCCGCTTCAGAGCCATGTCGCGGTGCTCCTGAGAAACGAAGCGAATCAAAGCCTCTCCGTTGCGCCGGCCCAGCGGCGAAAGGCACAATGCAACGCCGCCTCTGCATGTGCATACGTGAGGGAGAGAGATAGAGAGAGAGAGAGAGAGAGAGACGAGAGGAGAGAAGCGAAGAGTGCAGTGTGTTTAATGAAGAGCGCATATGATAAAGAAAATTCTGGCAAATAGCTAAGAATTTCATTGGTCGCCGGCCGTAATCTGCCGCCGACCCGCTGAACTTTGATAAGCTGCGCGTCGAGCACAGCTTATCAATGGGTTACGTCGATCCCTGTGAGAATACACTTGCAGAGGGTACAATGATTTCACAACGAGACATGGCAAGGCAACTGTTATCTATAAATTTCATACTCTCAAGAGTATCAAATACTTTTCGGTTTCTGAAATACCCCCAAATATAAAGATCTCTTTTGATAGAATGTAAAAAAAGTTCTATTGAAATTTATAGGGTATAAAAGTGATAAAAGACATATACTGTGAAAAAACACTTTCAGATTAAATTTTAAAAATCCCTTTTCTTTAAATATATATCCAATTTAAATTTAGCTGTTTCAGTCTTTGTTAAACCATCAACCTCAGAGTTACTTTGCAGTTTGGAAATCTTAGATCATCGATCAATCGAATGCTTTGATTGAGCATTTATTTATGCGATGACAAAGAGAATCAATTTAATCTAACATACAGTTAAATCAGCGCACCGTGTATATAGAAGACTATTATCATATAACAACCATATCAAAATTCATTGAATTCAGTCCACTCTATGTCATTAAGTGTAATTAAACTTCTATTCTATTTAGACACATTTTAGATTACTAAAACAGCTCCATTTTGCTGCTACTCACTTGGCTACGTTGAGTCCGCGAAAGAACTTGGCTATGTCCTGATCGCTGCTCTGCCAGGGCAAACCACGAGCACGCACGATGCAATTGCCGTCCACCTCGTCGTCAATTGAGCTGTAAGAGAAATACCAGAAGGAATGCAAAGCTCAGTTTCAGTTTACAATTTCAGACACATTCGTTGTAAAGTAAGAGGAGCTAAGGCACATAAATATATGTACATACATACATGTACATGTATATTTATAAATGTATTCGTTTCTATATAGAGGCTACATTTGACAAATGCCAAAGCTGTACCCTGTAATAGACTTGGGCGTCTGTGGAATTTTGTATACCGAGTTATATAGTTTTTAAGTTTCTTCTCTGAAGTCACGTTTCGTTCTTTCAAGAACATAAACATTTTTGCTGACTTTTCACACACACACACATTGAGGCTGTCTCAGCACAAACAAACAAAAACATGAATAATCAGAAGCAGCAGCGACAGCACAAATGTTGAAGAACAAAAAGTCGACTTTAATCATAATTTTGTGGCACATAATCTGAAATGGTATTCGTGAATGTTTTGCACTGATTTGCCTTACCTGAGCGCTAATTGGAATTGTTTTTAATGGGTTTTTATTTCAGAGTTTTTGCCTCCCAGTAGAGCTTCTACTCTATTTATGTGACACACTTATTCGTCGAGCTAAAGATTATGGCAAACGTGTTTCTACTTCACTTCATTTTCATCTGTTTGTTTTTTCTTTTCGCCGTCTTCTTCTTCTTCCTTTCGGCGATAACAATAGTCACAATTCATCAGGGACTCTCACAATTCGATGAGTTTCTAATTTCCTACACTTGAGAGATGGGCCCCGGCTACGAGTTCTTATCGCGCACCGATCCAATCGCCGACTGAGCCGCGATCCGTTCCACGATTTTTGTCGCGACGCTTGGCTCACAGTCAGCCCTGAGTAATATTTATTTTTCTGAATGGTCTTATTTTCATTTTTTTTTTTTTTAATATATAATTTTCTCATTTTTTTTTTTTTATATATGCATGTTGAGTGTTTTCGGGCTGGGCTGACTTGAAATAGTGCAGACATTAACACAAAACTGGAGCATTGAAAAGACTGTCCGCTGCTCTAGAACTGAATGTCTAGAATGACTCTCTGCTTGAAATTGAGACTCGGACTTGAGTGCCACTCAGAGAGTGAGACGTTGAGTGAGTCTCGCTGAATGAAAGAGTGTGCAGTCGAGCGAAGGCAGGTACTGAATCAGTCTCTGAAGTTCTCTTACATGAATTGAGTCAGCGCTACCTTAAGTAAAATGTGACTTATCGCATATGATATTTGAAATGTATTTTTACTGATATTCGTTCCTTTTACTAATATAGATATTAATATATATACAAATGTGATCTGAGAGATCTTGGGAGCTCTACACTATTTCCAGTCTCAAAGTAAGTATAAGTCTAATGAACTTAAAAATTTCGAGAAACTAATGTTCATTAATACATATACATATGCACTAAATAAGGTGTGTCTCTCCTTAAGCTATACAATTTTGAGTTTCATAAATATATAAATCTTAATATATAAATCTTGTAAGCATTTGAAATTGAAATCTACTTCAAAATCCATTCTTGCTCACTTTTATTACTAATTAAATATATTTTATACAAATAAAATTAAAAATATCTTCCAATAAAAAGATTGGATATTGTAAATATTATGCAGATCATGATAGATAATATTGATTCTAACTGGCTGGGCCTAATTGATCTGTTCCATGAGATAGCAGTAGACAATGTTACTGTGCGAAGCGAATAAGATTGATGTTCTATGTACTCCAATACTTCAGCATTTGAATTATTTTATATATATATATATACAAATATAAATTATATATACAAATATAAAATGAGTACCATACCAAATTAGCAATTTACATATGAACAAATTAAATTCGGCATAAGTAAATGCGGAATGTAGAATGTAGTAAAGATATGGCAGAAATGTCTCACAATAAAAATATGAATTGACTCTATAGTTCAATAAACATTATTCAAAAAGTTATTACAAATTAATTCATGGCTATCTACGGCTCCATTATTTCATTTCTTATTTCATTATCGTATTATTTGTTGTATTATTTACATTTGTACAGAACATACAAAGACAATCAAATATTTAAGTCAATTCAATTTTTTTTCAAATACGAATACAAAAAATATTTAATTACTGTTAAATTTTTAACATTATTATTATGATTTTTATTTTAATTATTATTTATCTCTTGATTGTGAATAACAGAATCAAATCTTTATTATCAAAAAATTCCCCAACTTTTGCCTAGCTGATGGCTAAGGTGGATCGTGTTTCTTTCACTCACTAATTTATTTCAACTTACCAAATTCCAGGCTCCAGCACAAGATTAACGACTTCATTAGTATCGAACTTATGACCTAAAATAAATCATAAATAAATGTAAGTTATTTCTCAATTAAAAAGCAGAAAAACCCAAACTAAACTCACCCGCCTGAAGCAATGATTGAATCACAGTGACCATATCGCGAGATTCGCGTATATAGAAATCATTATCTTCCACAGGTGTTGCATTCAGCTCTGCATAATGGAGATACAAAAGAAATCATTAGCGAATCGAGGCCAAGTGGAAAACAACGCAAACTCACCTTTAAGCATTTCGCCAATGGACTGCGGCATGGGCAGCACAGGTGACTGCAGCATCTTCTTGATGTCCTTGAGTGGAACGAGGGCACGCGATAGATCGCCCGACTTGTAGCGCTGGAACTCTTTGCGCAGATCACTGAATCTGTTGTAATAGGCAGGCAGCTCCACATCCTTGGCGCAGGCCTCCCGATGCAGACATTGACGCAACGGCAGCTGCCCGTCGGTGATCAGCTTGATCTCTGTGTCGTGCAGCGATAAGGAGCGTAGATAACCATCGAACTGAAACAAAAAACATACGGATATAAATCAAATTCAATTGGACTGATTATTTTGTAAATGGACCATTTCAGATATGTTGCCATCTTCGATCTATCCAAGTCTATTAATAAGTGCTCATGGAACTTACGTTTCTTATAAAACAAAATCTTTAACCAGAGATAATACAATGGATACACTTATACAATATATATATACGCATATATGTATATATATAAAAGCGGGTAGTAGAACTCTTTCGAGTACACATTTATCTTTACTATACTAGTAGGTATTACCCAAAGAATTTGTTTTGCTCGCTCTATGATATAAACCTGATTTGAGCCCAGATTAATTAATGGAAAATACACTGATTTCTTATTTAGCTTATAAACTAGATGTAGCCCATTAAAAATAGGGTTTCAGATTAGCAGACAGAAGGGGGCGTGGCAGAGCCCAACAGCTATTTATAGTCTTGATCAAGCTGGGTTGATCTAGATCCGTCCGACCGTTCATTTGAACTCCACGAAATTTGAAATGTGACATACGAGCTATTTATTTATAGATTTACTATTGATAATAATAATCAATCATAAAAATCGATCAAATAACTGTTATGGCCCATTCTAAGTCTTTTTATTTTGTATTTATTACTAATGACAAGATTATTTTCTGCCGTAAAAACAAATTGCAGGAATGTTAAGATAACTGAAGGGTTTTTCTAATTTAGACTTGAATTAAATATTTATAAAATATAAAAAATAAATTTCACGAATGCCTTTTAATATTTTGTATATTTAAACGGACCAGCAAAAACATTCCTAACAAATACTATATTCCATTAATACGAAATGAATTAACTGTTAATTGAGTGAAAACCCGATAAGAGATATGTACCCCATATATGGATGTGTATATACATATTATATATTTAGTGAACATTATGGCAATGACGATGATAATAAAACCTCAGTCAAAACTCAAAGTTCAACGGTTAAGAACTGACGAAAGGTTTGTGGGGATTATTTGGCTGTATGCAAATTCTTTTGGTGCAATTTTCTAGGTTACGAATGCAATTTGTTTAAACCCGTTTATTATTTGTTGTTTCTGATGATATTGATGTTGTTGTTGCTGTTGTTATTGTTGTTGTTGTTGTTGTTGTTGTTGCTGCAATTATTGTCAATTACATGGAAAATAAGTAACAGAAACAACAACAAATCGCTTTAGCTATAGTTTTTATAGTTTTTTTTTGTCATGTCATCGTGAGTAAACATAACAAGCAGCTTTATGTCGCATTAGCTTGGGTTAATCTCTGAGTAGAGCTTGTCTCTGAGCTAGCCCTGAGCGGCCTCGGAGCTTGCCTTTGAGCCTCCTCTCAGCTGGCCGGCCCTATGCAGCGACGCTCCCCTGGGCAAATATTTGCGAGAACAGCGTTCTCGTCATTTAATAGCCAAGTGTGTATTGACCAGGCAAATTAGTATGCCAGCCAAAGCAGACGCTCACAATAGCCGACAGCTAAACGCGCTTTCCCTTTCCCTTACTCTCCCTCTCTCTTCTTTCTCTCTTTGTCTCTGGCATTACGTCACGTGTCGCTTACGGATCGGATCGGCTGCCAAAGTTGCATTCACATACATACATACATATGTGTAATATGACATCTAATTGACGTACATTCGTCAACACACTCCATAAAGTAGATTAATGACACTCGGGTGCAGAGTACAACAGCGTCTTAATGATCCAAGTTAGTTAGGCATCTCTCTAGTTTTGAGATTATAGAGTTCATAAGGGTATTCTGTTGGAGGTCGCACGCAAGCCCCATTCTAAATGTAAGTATTGGATTTATTATGGGCTTCGATTTCATGACTGCTACAATGCTTGATACTCTAAATGCCACTCTATATACATGATATTAGATAAAAAGAAAGTAGTTATAGAGAAGGAAAAAACAAATGTGCTACAAAGCATTTAAAAGCAACTCACGTGCTAAATGTTTGAATTGGAAACTGAAACTGTAGATAAAGTAGATAAAGTTATACGCCGATTGGGAATAGAAAGATCTACCATATATTCGCCAATGAGCGTATATATTCAAAGTTATCACTCCCTTTAATTAGTTGCGATTCTAAGATACCAGATATAGTATTGTACCATTTGGCGTGCCCCTAGTGGGTGTATCAGCATCTAAACAGTTTTATCAGACAAACATTCCAAATTTCAGGTTTGTAGACTCTCTTTCACTTCGTGAACGAATATTAGCGGCTCGATATCTAGGTTTATAGCGAAACACTTAAAATTTATATGTGCGATATGCATAATTAGTCATTCCCATAATCAGTTGCTTTGATTTTAGTTAATATACGTAGTTCATGGAATTTATTTCAAATGCATATAGCACACACGTGAATGTATCACCGACTGCTGCACCCAAGTTTACAATACTCATGCTCCGAGCCGAGAGAATCTTTATCTTTAACATCTACTTGGTGCTACATCAGTGTTTACCCTACAAGCGTTTACATTTCCGTAACGAGAAATCGTGAACAAGGGGGGCTGCGGAGCTTGTCGAAGTGCTCAAGTAGCAGCGCAACGTACTGCTTATCAGGGAGTCTGATAAGATTTCGAGTCGAACGCTTCTACAGCTCCCAATCAGTGGCGTTGTCCAGGGGCGAAAGGGAAAAACGAAACCATATGCAATCTCCAATGACTCTACGAGAAGAAACATCCCAACGATTCCAGTTATTGAACAATTTATGGCGTTCCCTTATCATTGGATCTACGAATTTTCCAGTCTTAGGCTAGCGACCGGACTGGTTCGAAGATCAGCTGGGATTATCACATGGGTTGTTAATGAAATATAGAATAGCGCGTGCTCTGGTAATCTCTTTCTCTCCGTTACTCTATATCACTCTCTCTTTGTCTCTCTTTGTCAATTTTACTCTTGCTCTTACCTTATCACACTCAATCTGACACCCTTTCTCTCTCTCGCTCTTTCCCTTGTGAGCATGCCTCTTTTACACTAATCTTATCTACTGCGCTCACTCGACTCCCACGCGCGATAGCTGCGAATGTGAAGTGTGAATTATGTCCCCTTCTATAATGTGCATGTTTGAACAGTCAGTTCACTTAGACTGATTTGTATGCCATTCTTTACCCAATATATGTCGAATATCTTTCAGATTTCTAACTTTATCATCTGGCTATCATTCCGTCTTCATTCTGCATCCTCTTTTTTTAAGGAGTCCGCATTCCTTGTATTGTTCTCTGCTCTTGTTCTCATACCTTTTGCTTGCTTACTGTTTATCCTCTTTGACCCAGTTATACTGTTCCTATTTATATCCACTTTAAACCCGTCTCTCTCTCTCTCTCACTCTCTGTCGATCTCTTGACCCATTTAAAATGCGTTCCTTGCTCCCCACTCAGGCCTTTCCCATTTTAACATCTGCATCTCTTGTCATATATCTCCTGCTCTCCTTCTCCCTCTCCCCCCCTACTCACCTCTTCGATCGCTTCGGCTAGGGGCTTCCCAGCTGACTGAGCCTCCGCGATGGGCAATATGAGCTCGTTGCTGTTCTCCAGGGTGCTGAGGCAGATGCCATTCGTGGCGCTGCTCCCGCTGCTGCCGCTTGCATTTGTGATGTTGTTTGTTGCATTGATGTTGTTGCTGTTGTTATTTGAGCTATTGTCGCCGGCATAGCCTATGGCTAGTGGCGGCGAGCAGGCTGTGTTGTTTGTAGCATTCGAGTTGTCCGATGAGCTAGATATGGTGCGATCCTTAATGAAGTAACCATCAGGGCGTACGAGTATTTGTTTGGTGCCAATGATCTACGAAAGATAAAAAAGAGCAAAGATTAGACAACATAAACCAAAATAAGAATATATTAAACTGAGATATAAATTACTATAAGTACAAAGTGCTCTAACTCCGAAATGTCTAATGTTAATGTATTGCACAGTTTACAGCTAAATTACACTATCCCCACTAGATCGTAAGATAAACACTTTGCTACCTGCTTACGCCTGATAAGCAGTTGGCTCTCAAGGTGGGGCAGGCAGAACTTGTTATTAGATTAAATGGGAACTGTGAAAAAAAAATCGTTTGCTACGATATATAACATGAATATCAGCACCAAATATTGTCGCTAGATAGGGAACCTCTGACTAGTCTTCTAGTGAGCGGAGCTCAGCTGAAGCTTGGTGCCACGGTCTTTCCTGCGGGGCTCTATGTTTCCCCATGATTCATGAAAATCAAGGTGCAAAATTTGTTTAACATATTCAACAAAAAACTGAACTAGAGGCACATTACTTTGAAACAGGCCTACGGTGAGACGTTGATGGTTGCGTCAGCGGATGTGTGCTCAGAATCGGATTTGGAATTCGGAATTTGGTATCGGGAATGGGGCATTAGTAATTAGAAATGGAGAACCGACTCCGAAAGCGATTGCAGGTAGCTACTGAGCTATGCAAAATACACAAAAAGGGAAATAAACAAATGTAAAAAAAGACTCAAGCTACAGCAAAAACTAAACATATAGAAAACTGTTTTTGAAATTCTTTTTATTTTCCATTTTTGTTTTCTTTTGGATTACTGATTTCTGACTTCTGATGCCATCGATTTGCATAGCTTTTGAATATATAACACGATGCACGCACTAGGTAGGATTCCGTGTATGAAATATTTATGAGTTCGTCGCCTGATGTTAAATTCAACAAAATGAAAAAACAAATACAAGAACAGAAACCCAAGAATGAAAGCAAGGAAAAAACGATTTTCTCGCCTTCGGGTGGGTTCAAAGTGGGGTTAAGCCCGCAAGCTAATTATACGCTACAAAGCTGAGACAACGAGAGAAGGAGAAAGAGAGGGAGAGAGAGAGAGGGAGATGAAGAAAGAGAGAGGCAAGTTAAAGAGTGAGTCAGTGAGAGGAGAGAAATGTAAAAAGTTTTCGTCATACTTCAAACATTCACAATCATGGAAAATTTAGACCACTTCGTATTGACCCATTGAAAAAAGCCAAGTATATATTTATACAAGTATATAGATAAGATCAAAACCGGAATATGTGATACAGATTAAGCGATCTATTAAACACTGCCGACGCCGCCGTTTCTAGATCAATGAAAACGTGCCAAGAGTTCCAGTTCTGTGTCGTGTGATAGGCCCCGTGGCCCCCTCAGCCAAGTGAAAACTCAATGAAATTAACTGAGTGTCAATGCAGACATCTTGGCCTGGCCTAGAAGAAACTGAATCGCCAATCACACTCTCAGCTCAATTCGCGAGAAACAATAAAAACTCTATGCAAAAGCTGCACTCTTTGTGTCATTTTCAAAAGTCCCCCTCCCCACCCCCCCTACCGGGCTGCACACGAATGTTAATTAAGTTTAATTGTTGCCATTCGAGTCATAACCAGCCTGTAATTAACATGCCAATTACGCTAACTGCCTGTGCATGTGTGTGTGTGAGAGTGTAAGTATCTGTCAATCCAAGGCAATTTTGCTGATGCAAGAAATCTATAGCACTTCACTCGAGGAGAAAATTCGTGCTGAATGAGAGGAAGTTTTTCGCACGGAAGGAAACTCTCGACAGATTTTCAGCTTACGTTTTCAGTTTAGAAAGCAACAAATTGTCTCGGTCAGTTGGCTGTCCGAACGGGTTCAATGAACTCAACGTCAATTTACACACATTTAACTAACGGCAGCTTCGAAATAAGATGAGCCAAGAGACGCTTAAAAAAATAACCATAGGATCTCATCTTAAAATTAAAAATATCGCTGAAAAGAAATATTTTGTACTATTGCAATTGATTTTAATGAAGAACTGGATGGAAATCTTTTCTATTATATATATACTTATATACATGTGGAGATATAAATTTAATTGATATTTCTAATAATTAATAACCTTGATTTTACTTAACAGTATGCTTTCTTAAAACTATAGATCACTAGCAAAGGTATTTTAAACGTCTCTATATGATGACTAAAGTCAATCATTATTCCTAGTAAGAATACTCTGTGATCTATGGGGCCAACATAACCAATATTACCAGTAACTAAACCGAAATCAAGATAAATATCAAATATTTCTATACTTTGTCGCATTGTGGGCACTGCATACATATACAAATATACATATATAAATATATATATATATATATATATGATATACACATACGTATGCCTATACGATATGTTTAATTATATTCTTTGATGAAATTTGAATGCTAATCAACGATATGCTCTGCCCAAAACGTGAAGCTTGCGCTCCATTTGGCAGTTTAATTGCATATAGAAATCAAGAAACTATATTAGATATATATAGACATGTCAATGTCAGACACATAGAGTCAAGCTGGGGGCCCTCAATTATTGGATTTGTGTAACGTTTGGGCAATGGCCATGCGTCAGCTGCCAACAGCTGGATCAAAGCTCTTCTGCAGTAATTAGAAAGGGTTTTTAATTTTATTCCATTTCGGTTATGGTCGGCGGCTGTTCTATGTATACATTTTACAGATATTTCATAAGCCATTAAAACTAATGCTTTGTGGCCAGCTAAAAGCAGTTTGATGACGGCGCCGTTGTGGCTCAGTGAGTTTTCGTTTTAGTATCACAATACCCTGTATTTGTTGAATGTGATCAGACGGGGTATACTTATATGTGAAGAAAGTTGTTACTGACAGAATAAAAATTAAAATTTACTCACTCATCCAGCCCCCATTCCAAGCCCTGTTTATTAACTCCAACTGCTATGAGCAATGTTAAAAGCAAAAATTGAGAACTTGGATATACAACCATTTCGATCATAATGCCTTTCATAGTATAAATAGTTCTATAATTAAACTTCAAGTGAGCTTCATATACGATAGGTATCTGCTAGTCGAGTCACAGTCCAGCTTGATTTTTGACTTGCTATGCGCAGAGACTTCAGCAATTCTCGCATGTAGTTAAGGGACTACAAATCAAATGGATGACATCTGGGCGTTAAGTCGGCAAATGAGACCAGCCCATAGAGGCGTATCTAAATACAATATAAAAATTCAGTTTTCGTACTATAGCCCCGAGAGATATAGCCGTGTGTGTGTCAAGTGTGTGGCGCAGATTCATGTCCGTAGAAAGTTTTGATTCCCAGCTATTATTAATCGGCTTTTAGGACCCGGTAACTTTCATCCGCTTAACAACAATAAATTCCAACTAGCCCGATGTTCGCATAAATTTAATATATTATTTTGCAAAAAATAAGCAAATTATTATAATATTATATTGAACAAACGAAAACTGTTTTACTATAATTTGGCAAGTCTTATACAATGGGACTCGCTGAGCTGTTCCACGCCATTTAGGACCGCATGCCCAACACCTGCCAGCCTGAACCTCAGCAGTTTCGAAAGCCAGCCAGCTGGCTATTCGAACGCGTTTGACCTACCGAACTCTGATCGCAAAATATAAATAAATATTTAAAAAGCAAAAACAAAACGTTCAAAAATTTCCACAGCGACAGATTTTAATGAAATTTTGATGAACTTTAGTGTGTCTGGCCTTCCCAAGCCGGGGACTCACCGCAGAAATTACCATAATAACGGCCAAAGAGTAAACCGAAAAGTCTTGCGACTTGCGAAAGTCTAAATGTATGTATATATGAATGTAAGCACACACATATATACATACATATATGTATATATATACTTAAAAATTCCAATTTGAATTCGTTTTGCCTGGCTGCTACTACCACCAGCGTTTAGAAAATTAATCATAATTTGGCCAAAAGCGTGGCTAATAATGAGACCCCGAAATAAATAAAGACCCGAGTACTAACCCTATCCATAGATAATTCCGAGACGTTTAAAACATCTCTCGAGAGGCAATGCCATTAAAAAGCACTTAATGTCATCCGAATCGGAAAAAAGAGAAAAATGCTGATGCACTTACAGAAACGTATATTGCGTGTTCAAGTCGTAAAAAAACAAAAGTTTCAGGCTGACGGATCTAGACGTAAAGCCTATGGCGAGGCAGACAAACATCAGTTAAATGCTAGTAAATACAGGCCCAGCCAGCCCAGTGATGCACAGACATCTACTCAGGGGCTCATATATATGTTGTCAAGCCATTTTCTTGCCAAACACGCAGCTAACTCTCTATACCCTAGCAGCTAGAGGATTGCAGGGAGGGGCTGCTGCAGAGCTTGTCTACGTAACGTGCTGTCAAGCATTTTGCAAATAATATTGCGTATATGGAAATTATTGACCAGACGCTGGCCCAAGACTCGCTTTTTGTTTTGCATGCAAATAAAAGCGATGAAAAGTGCAAAAACAAAAAGAGAGGAAAAACAAGGGAAAAATAATAAAATGAAAATATAAAACTGTCGAGTTTCCAGTGAGAAGTCTAAGTCAAATACTGTGCCCAAATCAAATGCAGACAATCGATTGCGAAATCCCATGCGAAAGCCAATTTTCGTTTATTAATGCTTTGATTTGAAAAATGTGTAAACGCCTCTGGAATGGAAAATTGCAGAGCTTGATTATGCAATGGAAAAGCCATTATGAAAAGCAATCACTTGAAAAGACAACGTAATGAAAATAGCTGAGAAAATAGCAAGCATAAGCAACATTTTTAGTTGGAAAGTTTTTGGAGCAAATTATTATAAGAGTGGATAAAAACAAAAAAATTTTTGAATAATGTCAAGAATATTCCATCCATTAATTCGAATCATTTTGTAATAAAAATCCTATGAAATTGTTTACTATATAAATTTATAAAAATATTACTTTCATTCTAATAAGGATAATTTAAACATCTCTGAAACCGATTATAATGTAATGCCCAGCAATTCGAACCAACTTTACACCTTTTATATGGATTTATTGATAAATTGTTAATTCGACATGTTGAGTGCACGAAAGCATAAATAACTTTTTAAATAGCCAATAAATTGATCTGCAATTTGTATACTTTCTACCTCTAAAGCTATGATAGGTGCACATTTTGCGGCTATAATGCAGTTATACACAATCTCCATCTGTTTATATCATATATATTATATTGTGTAATTTTTTATGATATATAAAAAATATAAACAAAAATTAGTTAAGTGTTAATAATATTTTAGAGATTTATATTGTAAGCAAAATAAGCTTTATAATAACCCCAACCTGACACGCTCAAAATAAACAAAGTTTTTCCAATTTTGTAGTTTAACCCTTTTTAATGTTTCTGATTATTATATTTCAGCATAATAAATACGAAAACTTTAGCAATAAAACGATATACATTTATATAGTAAACCTCCAGCTGTTTAGACTCTTAGTACATGAACTAAGCTAAAAACTGAAGTATTACTTGGAATCGGTTGCTTTTAGAAAGGTAAATACACGTGTTGCACAAAGTCATATTTTTTTTTATATATACATATAGGTTTCGCTGGGTTGCGAGGTTATTTGTAGGGATTTCGCAATGGGTAGCACACCATATAGCTTAGACGATGCGTCGTTTTAGTCATTTTCATTTTTAAACAATTAGTGTCAATCGCTTGGCAAACTCAAAATATGCAAATACGGCCTGACTATGGGCTATACTTATATTTATATAGTCGCCGGATAGGGGCTGCCCGCCTTTTTGCCTCCGCCCCATCTCTCACTGCCAGCTCAAAGCTGTCGTTGATTACTATATCGAAAAGACCAATGGAATGCTCCCTGAACTGCTCAAGCAAATGGCAGAAATCAACAGGCTCAACATTCATATCAATTGAATACCCTGTAGACGGATGGCATAGAGTAGCATAGAACTTTATTCTTTCACTAAACTGTAACGACTGCAAAAAAAAACTTAGAAAATCTCGAATTTTTCGAATTTGGAATATCTTTAGCTATTTAGCTATTTCAAATTTAAAATTCAACAACTTTCTTGGTATAAAAGTGAACTAATTATAATGCAAATTTATAATTGTACGTCTGATTAATATTGAGCTTTAAACGTTTCCATTAGAATATAGATTTATTGACATTTAAATTCAGGCAGTATTATAAATATAAATTATTCATTATGGCTAATAAGATGTGAACTGAGCTCAACCCCACTAAATAAGTCAGAAGCATATCTTGATACAAAATTGAGCAGTGGTAACTAAGGGCTTCGGCTGGATATACTTAAGACTGATTCAATATCAGTCGAGTATATCTCAATGTACCACATCATACAACATATATCTCTAAGTATAGCTCAGAGTTGTTAAGATACCAGTTCTGTATAAGTATTTGTACTTGCTCTACAGGGTATATTCGAGTCTATATTTATTCAGTTGCGCTCACTAAGTACTTGTAGTTTTTAAACGAATCAAAGTCGAGTTGACGTTGTCTTTGCTGCTGTTGTGTTGTTGTTGTTGTTGTAACATAATCAATGCGCACAGTTGAAAGTGCAGCTTATACAACAATAACGTATTATTGCGTGTCTATGTGTGTGTGTGTGTGTGTGTTCAAAAACATTCGTTTGTGTTTGTGTGTGCGGGTATTCATTAATTAAGCGACGACAGCGCACACGCTTCACAAAATGGCGTCGCTCAGTAGGCGGCGCTTAGAGCTGAGCTTCAACAACGCTCGCTGAAGGGCTTCAACAGTGGCGTCAACAGGTGTGTTGGCTCGTAAACTCACCTGTCCCGTTGCCACTTCGAGCAGCACATAGACCATCAGTATAATTTCCTTTTCATCCGAGCCAAGGCCGGGTCCGTTTTGGCCGCATGTGGCTATGTAGAGGGAGACAACGTGCTCGGGCACCTGCATGTTGCTGTTGTTGTTGTTGTTTCTATTGAAGCAATTGTTGTTGTTGTGGTTGCTGTTATTGTTGTTGTTGATGAGATTATCTCTGTCTTTGATCTCTCGCAATTAAAGGGTATCTGTGAGGTGGCTCGCTCCGAGTCTGAACTTGAGTTGGCTTTCTGCTATTTGCTATCAGTTGCAATTGCTGTCGCTGCGTAGTTGATGGCACTGCATTCTCTGCTCAGATACCCATTGGATATGGCTAAAAAAAAAGAAGTAAAAAATAAAAAAACAATGAAGTGGATAAGGAAACAAATATTATGGATGAGCGAGGTGCGAATAGGGTTTAGAGGTGAGTGGCTGCATATACAATATTTTGAACCCTTGACAGCTGGCGAAACGAAAAGCTAATTACGTATGCAATTCAAAGAAAATGCCAACCAAGGCGAATTGGCAGCAAATGCAATCCAAATGGTTGCCAATTGGAAATTTGCAAATTTGCAGCGACGTTGCCAATTCGCAAGGCAAGTTTCTAATTAGACAGTGCGACGTTGCCAGATTTCAACTAATAAAAACACTTGAAGTGCCATATCGGATTCGCATCACATTTGCTGAGGCGATATTCATCGGCAATAATTTGCAAATTTTAAGATCCGATGTTGCCAATTTTCAGTTGATACGAAATTAGGTACTTAAGGAAACACTTATGAACTTGAGAGGCTCTCTAGATATTTACCAAATCTACATAAGCCAAGCACTGTGTGCAACGTTGCCAATTTTCAGTGAGACATCAAACGAGTAAAACGACGTCTGACAAACGAAGTCACTAAAAACTGTCGCAAAGATCATGAGCAAAGAGGTCAAATTGAAATTATTAACCTGCGCAACGATTTGAAATTTAATTTTGTGCTTCATTCGGTTGCCAAGCAGTCAGCCCGGCTCCGACAAGTGGATTGGACAAAGTCGAGCAAAAGGCGAATGTAGAAACACTGGCGACAACTAACAAAAAATAAAAAAAAAAAAAACACACAGAAAACACCAACAGCAAACATTAAAGTGCAATTTTATGGGCATTTTTAATGTGAAAAGTTTTACTTTTAATGAAAACAGCAAACACACAGCAGCATCAAGCAGAGCTCGACTGATTGACTGACTGACTGACTGACTGACTGACTGAAAGACTGTTGATGATGATGTTCGGGCATTCAAAGCACACGCTGAACTAAAGGTCGTGGGTTAATCGAGGTGCACAGGCGCACTCAAAGACTCAGAGCGCAAGCTTTTGCAATCGCGTTTATGATGATTTTTTGTTGTAATTAAAAAGAGAATGAAAAACTGGGCGAAAAAGGCATGAAAGAGCACTCCAATTAGAAAAGCCCAACCAGCAGATACCCTCTGATTAGTTCGTATTGTTTTATGAGCCAAGGCGGAGCTTTCTGCTTGCTTCCGATCATACATTGGAGTTCATGTTTTAATAGTTCAATGATCTGAGTTCAAAATTAGAAATAAACATGTTGATGACTGACGTTGTAGCATTCAAACAGAAAGCTTCGGCATACCCGTAACACCAAGTGCCTATAGGGTATTCCAGCAATGTCCAAGCTTTTGCAATTAAGACAAGCTAAACCGATTTAAGCACAGTTTGCGACAGTTTCTTAACTCTGAAATGTTTTTTCTTTTTTTAACTTTTTTCTTCATTTTTTTAATATTTTTCGTTTTGTTTTATGCATGTTTCTGCGTCTTTGCATTTAATAACTTTTTTCTTATTTAAAATATATAATAAAAACTTAAGCACGAGCAACAGTCTTTTGTCTTTTTTGCTGCAAGTTTCCGCTTCGTGCGCTGGGGAAATGGTCAATGTGTATGTGTGTGTGTGTGTTTTGTTTTTTAATGAGTATTTTGTGTTTATGCTCTTCGAAGACGATTGCAATTTATGCTGGGCTTTCGCACTCCGTCCCTCCTTCTCTACATTTAGAAATATTTATATCTATCGGTATGTGCTTCGTTTCTTTTGCCGTTATGCAGCCGAGTACATAGAGTGTGTGAATTCTACTATTCCCAGGCAAAGAAATTCTTGATTCTACTGCATTCCAAATTGTTGAATAATAAAGAGAAGTTTCTCAAAGACTCTCTGCTGATCTATGGCCTATGAATACGGAAATAGCTTTCTAATGCTCTAATTTATTTATTTATTGATTGTAAAGGCTTCGCTAATATAATCATAAGCTGTTAAGATTCTTGCGCCTCTCTGTTAGGCTTAACAGCTGAGGCACTCAATAACCAGTTATGATAAGTATAGCCAGTTATGTTAAGTTTATTATTAAACGTATGTTACGATTCTTTGTTATCATATATATCATTCAAAAACATATGATTTAAAGGGTATTTTGACTCAAAAAATAATTCTCTCATTTGATTTCAAATATGATCGGCAGTCAATATGAAAAAAGGATTTTTCTCGTTGTTTCTGTCCTTAATTGCTCTCCTCTCTTCTTCATTTTCCTGTTACCATTTCCTAATTAACATTCCATATTTAACATTTTTCACTTGAAAATTACTACAATTAACATTTTTATAAAAACATTCCTGTACTGCTAAAGTTTCCATCGACCTTCGCCAACTTCAACATTTACGTTAATAGCTAATATCAGTGCTCGAGCACCTTTCGAGCTCGTAACAGTTGCGTGCCATTTCCCACTCAATAAATAACCGATTGAATAGACTTTAAGCTCACTTTTATCTAAAGCAAATTTGTTTAAGCGGCACTCGAAACATTTGCAACAGCTTGTTCTATTGTTTTTCAGCTTCAACTTATGGCTCCATAAATTGCTTGTTTATCGAAGGAATCGTTGTAAATATTTATGAGCCACATTAGAGTTGATAACTTGATTTGATTTTGATGTAAAAATAATTGACAGAGTTTTGACAACAAACATTACGCCAATGAATTTAATTAGTTTTATGCTTAGAGATCGTAACACTTCATAAACCTGTTGTGTTTCGATGATGTGGATGAATTTCCCTTTCGTTTCACACTTGAAGACTCACTGAGGCCTGACCGATAGCCAAGGCCTAGGTCCAGTTGTGAAGTTTTCACTGGAACGTGTGGAAAAGCGTTTCTGTTTTTTTTTTTTCGAGGTGACGATGCGTCGCGCCGTGACAAACGACAAACGAAAAACAAACCAAAAAAAACTAGGCAATAAATAGCGAGTAGCTCATTAATGAATAACGGGTTGCTGCTTGAGATGGGCACTAATTAGAACGGGAAGAAAGCAGCAGACACAGATACACGACAACGAAATCTTCATTAAAGAGAAACAACAGAATTGAACAGCAATGTTACGGTTATTTCGAAAAGACAATGAATACTAAATTATATCGTTGGTATAAATTAGTGAGAAATAACTGCAGCGACAATAGCAAAAACCAGGCAATGCAATTAATAAGTTGGTAAACCAATCAGACCAATACCCAGTATGAAAAATGAGTTACCGACAGATTAAAGAAACTATTAGAATGAAAGCAAAATTATAGAATATAATAATTCTGTACGACAGAATATAAAATTGTTTTTAATTATTAGCCATTAGAAAAAATTGGAAAAGTAAAAAAGGAATATAAATTTTCGAGTATTTCCTCTGGTATCTATGTATTGTAATCATTAATCTTTTAATCAATATTGTTTTCTAACAATCTCAGAAATCTAAGAAAACATTAAAAAGCTTTCACCTGCCAAGCCTCTTCTGAGTATATTCACCAACAAACAATCTTATGATATGAAATGTTTTTTTTTTTTTTTAATGAAAAGTTATTTTATCTTGTTGGTGGAGTTATAGGGTATTTGCCATGTGTTCGTGGCAAGATTACTATTTTGTTGCACTCATTTTGATTTATTAATGACATGAATTGCGCAAGAGTTCGCTTTGTTCCAGTCAAAATGACTGGAAGGCGCAATGGAATTTGATTTGAAATTGCAATTGGCGTGTGCCGTTATCTCTTAGTGCTTTTGTTTTTGTTTGCCAACAGGAAACTTATGATTGCGCACAAAATTGCATGCGAGCGAAATGCCAATTGCCAAAGTTATTCTGCACCATCTACATCTATCTATCTCTCTCTCTCTCTATCCCTCTCTTTATTTCTGCATTACGCTCACAGCAGCAGCAAGTGCAGCAACAATTGTTGTGGTTGCCGTTGTTGTGGTTCTGTCTGCGTATGTGTGTGTGTGTGTATGTTTGTGTGCATGCGCGCATGTCAAAGAGCTAAAACACAAAAAATGCACAAGAGCTCAAAGCAGAAGCAGAAGCAAAACCAACAGCAACAACCACAACAGCAGCAACGATTCTCTCAAAGCGCCGCAGCAGTTTACTTTGGAAGCTTTGTAACGTTTGAGCAGCAGCAACGCTGCGCTCTTTTAATATTTCTTGTCTGTGTAACTGTAAATATGTTTTCACTTTGTTATGTTTGCGCATCTGCTTTTAACGTACATATATACCGTGTCTTGAGCTGCTCTTCTGCTGCTTCTTCTTCTACCTTTTGTTGCTGTGGTTGTTGTTGTTCATTCGCTCGTTCATTCACACTCGCCACACACATACAAAGATATATACATGTTTGTATGTCGATAGGCATACCTATGTATGTATGTATGTACGTGTGTCACAAATTTGTCAAATAGTTTACAACTTACAGCAGCCAATGGGAAATGCTAGCGCTTAAAGCTTTTGTGCACAGTTATTCGTTGACTTAAGCAACAGGTTGATCCTTTTGCTTGAACTTTTTTTTATTATTTTATTTTATTTATTTGGTTTTCTTCTTCTTTTTTAGCTTTACATTGCACTTGTTGTTTTTATTGTTGTTGTACGCTTTTCACCACTCTTTTTTTTATTTTTTTTTTTTATTATTATTGCACTTTCTTTTTCACACACATGCTGACAAACAATTTTGTACGTAAGCACACATGCACTGATGTATTGGTATGTATTAGTATGTACGCATGTACGTATGCATGTATGTAAGCCCTTCTTCTGCGTACTTCGCCTGTTTCTTTTGCTAGTCACATTGACTAGCAGTTAGTTTTGCTAGCGTATTTTAGTATTTGTGTAAGTGTGTGTGCGTTGTCCGTTTTGCCTTTCCACACACGACGCCACCGATCTTAATACCAACACGTACAAAACGGGCAGCGACGCTGACGCCAGCGTCAACGTCAACGTCGACGTCTGCGCAATACATGCAAACAAAAAACAAGTCACTTTTTCGCCTTCTTTGCTACGGCTGCTTCTTCTACCACTTTGTGTGTGTCTTTATATATTTTTTTTAACTGTTGATTTTGTTTTCTTTCTAGTTTTGGACTAAAAGCTGTACGAGTGTGAGTGAGTGCTCGATTGTGTGTATGAGTTGTCTTTTCTCTTGCTGCTTTTGCGACGGCCGCGTCCGTCTGTCTCCAGGTTAAAACAGCAACTGATCAACTTCGTGGGCCACAAGCAGCCACGAAGGTAAGTGAGCTGCGCTTGCCTGCAGGTGTGCATGTGTACGTGTGTGTAAACCTTTGTGGAGAGCGGTAATAAACAGTGAGCGAGCGAAAGACATATACTACGAAACAGAGAGAGATAAAGAGAGAGCGCGTCGATGGCATAGCTCAGGTGTATGGGCCACTTAGCTGGTGGCTGATGCCAAACAAGATTCCAACACGCAAACGCACAACAACAGTAAAACTCATTTATATAGACAAGCTGACTAGATTTGCCAATGGGCTGTCCCCACAGATGGTTGGCAACGCGGCATCAGCCTGGCGGTATGCAAGCTTAAAAGCAAGAACAAAGCTGCCATTGAATCAATGAATGAATGCAGATCAAAAGAAAAAACAACTCAAATTCAAGCAACAACAGTTACGCGACACACACATACACAAACACACACTACACTCACAATATGCAGTGGCGTAGTTAGAATCACCTTTAGCAGGGATCGCCCCTCTCTTATGCTTATTGCAGTTTTCCCACGCTGCGCACACAACGTCAAGCACGCACACACACGCAATCAAGTAAAGACAGTTACGTTCGCTCAGCCATGACATGTTCTCTCTCTCTCTTTGCGCTCTCTCACTGTTGCGCTCTGGAAGTTACCTGCGAGAAGCCACTCGCGCAGCCCCCGCGCGTACACACCTGTGCAGCAATGTAGCGTATGTGTGTGTGTACATATGTGTTGCTGTTGCTGCTGGTTCTTCTTCTTCTTTAGCTTGCTCAATTACCAACAGAACTGCCCACGTACCTGTTTGTGTTTTTCAAGCGGTAAAATTCCAATTCCAGTCCAGCCATTTTTCCTAATATTTGCATTTGCATTGCGTTTGCTTATGTTCACAATTTAACATTTGTTAATTACATATTGGAAACAACTATCGAAAGAATTTGCTTATCGAATAATAACGTTTTTGGATATGGAATGCGCTCTACTCTCTTTTTCGTATCTCTCTCCTTCCTTCTAACAGCAACAAGCGACAGCTACAGACTGACAAAAGCGCGGAACGTAAACGCGTTTTGGTCGAAAGGCAATGGGCGAGAGTCAAGAGGTAGAAATAGAGAGAGAGGGACAGATCGAAAGAGAGCGCAAAAGTGTGATTGTGTTTAAGTGGGCTGCCTACCTGGGTGCCAGTGCATGTCATGCAATGCTAAAACGGGTTGCTGCTGCATGACATCAATCTGAACGATCAATGGCTGAAGTACCGTGATCGTATTATCGCGTGAATATCGTAACAATAACGTCATTTTGCGCGAGCTGATATAAATTTAATTAAATTATAATAGATAATAAGTAAATAGATAGATAGATATAATAGATAATAAGTAAACAAAGACTGTATATATGTAAAGTATTTACATATATATAGAAAAAATAAAATTTTTAAAATAAATACTTTAACTAATTAAAAAATCTAAGACAATTAATCAATTCAATAATCATATTGCAGAGCAAAATAATTGCATTTATTCACAAATTTAATGATTGTAGGTCTATGAAAAACATATATATATGTATATACTTTTCGCTCATGGCGAAAGTTTGATGTTTTAGTACGTTTTTAAGTATATTTACTTTGTGAAAACTAAAAATAAATGGGTTTTTCTCTTACAACGCTCACTGTACCTTTGAACACAATTATCGTTATTTCACGTTGCGTGTAATCTAATTGGATATCGAATATCGTATTTGAATCATTTTTATACCCTGAACCCATTGAAAATGGGAAATCAGGGTATAATGGT